GGCATGAGTTTAAGCTGCCGGGTCTGGGACTCAAACAGTGGTTGACTACATGGGAGTCCAGCGACATAGACATAGCCATTATGCTAACTGCTGGTCCCTTTCTAAGATTTCTAAGAGCCAGTGCCCAGTGACTTCTACTTCTTAATGTTGTTTATTACTTACTCACTTTGTTTATTTAAATTACCAGAGAGTGCATGTTCTCACCAGAGAAATTCAGAGGCAGAGACCAGGACAGAGCACTCCCCAGCTGTGCAGTGGGGGTGTAGTCACACAGCAAACCCTTCTCCTCTACCTTTGTATCCTTTTGGGATTTAGGTCACACATGCACATACATCCACAGTGTTTTTCAAGCCACAGGGGCCAGGATTCAAACCATAGTCAACCATTTGGATTCATCTCTATTAACCAATGGGCAAGAGGGTATGGCTGTCTTGTTCATTATTTAGAAGTTGACCCTAGAATATGGTAAAATGGTACCATTGAGTCTGGCATACTCAGTTCCCAATTACTTGTACGAGTTGACTGTCATTTCCATTTATCTTGGCTAATTATCTTTTAAGTAGATCTCAAGAAGTCATAAAAAATAAAGTGAATGAAATAAAATTCATTTAATAATATATTTTATTTGACCTAACATACCCCAGGTATTACCAATTCTGCATATGGTAAGTGTAAGTTATTACTGATGAGGCACTTCACATTTTTTCATACTTAGTCTTGGGAATCCAGCGTGCATGTATAGCACACCCCTATTAACATCACACCTGAAGTGCTCAGTTGCCCCATGTTTCTGATGGCTCCTGCGCTAGCCAGGGAGGGCTGAATCATGTTACTGGAATCTAATTGCTGGTCACGAATTCTTCATTAAACAGCTTTGCACTAGTCTCAAATCCTTTCCTGGAAAGAGAAATGTAGAAGGCAAAAGAATAAATTGAAGTTATCTAAAGTATATTTTTCATATGTACTTTTTTCTGTTTTGAGAGGTTTTTCCTATAGGGCATGTGTGCTCTCCTCTTGGGATCCTGGGCATACACACACATGCACCTGGCATGTCCAGAACTCGAACTGC